TTTTTTTTTGGAGACAGTCTCACTATGTTGCCCTTAGTAGAATGCCCTGGTGTCACAGCTCACAGCAACCCCAAACTCTTGGGCTCAAACAATTCTCTTGCCTCAGCCTCCAGAGTAGCTGTGACTATAGGTGCCCACCACATTGCCCATCTAGTTTTGGTTGCAGTTGTTGTTGTTTAGCAGCCCAGGCCAGGCTCGAACTTGTCAGCCTCGGTGTATGTGGCGGCACCCTATTCACTGAGGTACAAGCCCCAAGCCTAGAAGTATATTTTTAAAGTCTCCATATTGAGGTCATCATATTTCTTTCTTTTTTTTTCTGTAGAGACAGAGTCTCACTTTATCGTCCTTGGTAGAGTGCTGTGGCGGGATAGCTCACAGCAACCTCTCACTCCTGGGCTAATGTGGAACTCCTCTTGCCTCAGCCTCCTGAGTAGCTGGGACTACAGGCGCCTGCCACAACACCCAGCTATTTTTTTGTTGGAGTTTGGCCAGGGCTGGGTTTGAACCCACCACCCTCAGTGTATGGGGCTGGCACCCTGCCCACTGAGCCACAGGCGCGGCCCGAGGTAATCATATTTCATTGGTTCTAAGATAAACCTTCCTTTCTGTCGAGAAATCTTCCTCTTCCTTGCTGTGTTTGATCAAAACCTTATAATCAATGGTGTCTTAAGATCTATAAAATAGGGCACCGCCTGTGGCTCAGTGGGTAGGGTGCCAGCCCCATATACCAAGGGTGGCAGGTTTGAACCCGGCCCCAGCCAAACTACAACAAAAAAAAACCAGGCATTGTGTGGGTGCCTATAGTCCCAGCTACTTGGGAGGCTAAGGCAGGTGTTGGAGGTTGCTGTGAGCTGTGATGCAACGGCACTCCACCGAGGGTGATAAAGTGAGACTATTTCTAAAAAAAAAAAAAACAAAGAAAAATCTATAAAATATACTTATCTTTCGTGTTGACATCTAACTTAATTGCATTGTGGTTTGTCTATACTGATTGTTCTATGGTTACTTTAGACTTGCTTTGTTACCTATTCCTGAGGTTAATTTTTGTGAATGTTTCAGATATATCTGAGGGAATTTGTGTTTGTGATTATTGGTTTTGGATTTTAAGTAAATGCAGCAAATCAAGCTTGTTAATTGTATTGTTCAATCTTCTGTATCTTTATGTATTTGCTTGCCCTATCAGTTCTTGGGAGAAATATTTTGAAATTTTCCACTGTAATAGTCATATCTTGATTTCTCTTCATAGTTGGTATTTTTCTCTTCATAGGAGTGTATTTTTAAATTCCTTAATTAGATGCATGCGTGTTCAGAATTGCTCTTTTTTCATAATCAATTAAACTTTGTTTCATCATGAAGTAACCTTCTCCATCTTTTATAATTCTTTTGGTCTAAAGTCTGGGTTTTTTTGTTTTTTTTTTTTGAGACAGAGCCTTAAGCTGTCCCCCTGGGTAGAGTGCCAAGGCATCACAGCTCACAGCAACCTCCAACTCCTGGGCTCAAGCGAGTCTCCTGCCTCTGCCTCCCAAGTAGCTGGGTTTACAGGCGCACACCACTATGCCCGGCAATTTTTTTTTTTTTTTTTTTTTTTTTTGGTTGCAGCCATCATTGTTGTTTGGCGGGTCCAGGCTGGATTCTAACCCACCAGCTCAGGTGTATGTGACTGGAGCCTTAGCTGCTTGAGCCGCAGGCTCCGAGCCAAAATTTTTGTCATTTTTGAACATGTTTACATATTCTGGAAATCCATCTTTGGTTCTAACCAAGTTGAATGATAAGGACAAACAAGTTTAAGTGATGCCTGAAGACATAACATTCACTCCTGGGATTTGTTAGGAGTTTGTCTTTATGACTAATGGTATAATTGAAAGGAGATTAAGAACCTGAAATGAAGACTTTCATTGTATATCATCTCAGCTCTTGAGGCTGCCTAAGCCTCATGTAAACTGTTTTTGGAGCTCCAGATTCCTTAAGCTTTGATCTCCAAGACTAGGGGCAGCTCAAATCACTGTGTTTTTTTGTTACAGCTCAGAGAGTGGCAACAGTGTGAAAAGACTGAAACCAGAGCCTGGCCCAGATGACAAAAATCAAGGTGGGTGGCAGCCTTCATTTCTTTCTTTTAGTCATTATAATGCACATGAACCACAGGGCTGGAATGCTTTGCATCTGCAGATGAGTGCAGTTATCTCTTTTCAAGCAAGCTTATCTAGACTTTAATTTACAGACCGTTCCATACTTGGCAGGATTTATACCTAAGACTTTTGTCAGTTGCTTTGCAAAAGTAATATGTTAGAACCAGGGGTGCTGATAAATGACCATTGTGCTCTCCTAGGAATGCTTACAAAGCCCTGGTCATATCACTTCTCACAGAGGTTTTTTTTTTTTTTTTTTTTTGGCTTCTCTCTCAAATGTCAAGTTTCTTTATTTCACCTGGGTTGCTACTGGTGGGAGGTAAAATGCAGGCTCCTGCTGATGGCTGGATTGGTTTGAGCCTAGAAGGTTAATATAGTCTCTGGAAATACACTTTCTTACCATTCGTGTGATGAAATCTGCCTCTATAGTAAGTTCCAAGAAGTTGTAAGTGAAGGTGAATGTTCCTGGTGGCTGGATTAGGGATGAGAAATTCAAAAGTCAGTTTTTAGTTCCACCCCCAACTCCCTATGGATTAATATTCTGAACTAAACTCCATAGCTGGAACTATAGGCATGTGACATGATTCCTGACTAACTTTTCTATTTTTAGTAGAGGTGGGGTCTACTGTTGCTCAGGCTAGTCTCAAACTCTTGAACTCAAGCAGTCTTCCCATCTTGGCCTCCAGAGTACTAGGATTATAGATGTGAGCCACCATACCTGGCCTAGAACTTACTTTCAAAAGGGACAGTAAAGAGACTCCCTTCTCTCTCTATCTACTTCCATCCAATGCTCCTTAGAGGGAAACAGCATTTTTTTTTGAGACAGAGTCTCACTCTGTCATCCTGGGTAGAGTGCTGCAGCATCATAGCTCACAGCAACCTCAGATTTTAGATTCTTGGGCTCAGCAGTCCTCTTGCCTCAGCCTCCCAAGTAGCTGGGACTACATATAGGCACTTACCACAACACTCAGTGGGAAACAGCATTTATACATTTCTTATTTTGCTGTCCAGAGCTATTCTCCATATGTAGATATACATACGTTACATATATATCTATATGTATATTCATTCAGGGCGGACATAAAGTTCATGTGTCATTTAAGTCATGAACTAATTTAAATCGTACACAAACTTTATGTCTACCCTACATATTTCAGTGCTTTATTATGAGTAATTTAAAACATAGTCAAACATTGGGATAATAGTATAATGAAGCCGTGTCACCTAGCTTTAATAATTTTTAACACATAGCTGATCTTATTTCATTTATATCTGCCCAACTATAGTATTTTGAGACAATTCCGAGCATCATATCTTTTATTTATAATTCTTCAATATACATCTCTAAAAAATAAAGGGTCTTTTTTTGTTTGTTATAACAATTGTAATACCATTATCATATGTATAATAATCATAGCAGTTACCAAATATTATCAATATTAGGTTAGTATTCATTTCCCCCAATTGTCTCAAAAAATTTTTTTTGGCAGTTTTTAAAAATCAGGATCTAAGCAAGGATGACAGGATACTGTGTTTGGCTAGTATGCCTTTTTATTGAGGTATAATTCACATACCATAAAATTTAACCTCTAAAAAGATACAAATTAGTGGTTTGTAGTATGTTGACAAGGTTCTACAACCATCACCACTATGTAATTCCAATTTTTTTGGTGTGTTTTTGAGACTTGATGCCCAGGTTAGAGTGCCCTGGGGTCAGCCTAGCTCTCGGCAACCTCAAACTCCTGGGTTCAAGGATCTTCCTGTCTCAGGCTCCTGAGTAGCTGGGACTATAGGCACCCCCACCACAATGCCCAGCTAATTTTTTCTGCTTTTAGTAGAGACTGTGGGAGGAGTCTCACTCTTGTTCAGGCTGGTCTTGAACTCCTGAGCTCAAGGGATACTCCCACCTTGGCCTCCCAGAGTGCTAGGATTACAGGTGTGAGCCAACACGCCTGCCCATCTAAAATATTTCAATACTCAAAAGAAACCCTGTGCTATTAGCAGTTATTCTCCATTCCATCGTCTACCTCAGCCACTGATAACCACTAATCGACTTTCTGTCTCTGTGGATTTGCCTTTTTGCACCATTTCATGTAAATAGAATCGTGCAATTCGTCGCCTTTTGTGTCTGGCTTTTTTTCACTTACTGTAATGTTTTCAAAGTTCATACATGTTGTAGTGTGTACTTTTGTTAATGGTGAAATAGTATCCATTGTAAGATATACCACATTAAAGGACATTTGTATTATACCTACTGTCATTGCTCACAGCAACCTCAGATTCTTGGGCTCAGCGATTCTCTTGCCTCAGCCTCTCAATAGCTGGGAGTGCATGCAGGTACCTACCACAGGCACCTACTGTTTGCCTAATATAACTCATGTACAAGTTTTTGAGTAAACAACTCATATATACCTAGGAGTGGAATTGCTGGGTCATATCATAAAGCTGTCCTATTTTTACATTCTAGTGTATGAGGATTCCAGTTTTTTCACATCCTTGTTACTGTCTTTTATTGCATCCATCCTTGTGGGTGTGAAATGGGATCTCATTGTGGTTTTGATTCACATTTCCCTAATGACTAATGATATTGAACATCATGTTCTTATTGGCCATTTGTGTATCTTCTTTGGAGAAGTATTTATTCAAATTCTTAGCCTATTTTTAAATTGAGTTATTTATCTTTTTATTGTTAAGTTGTAAGAGTTCTTTATGTATTCTAGATACTAGAAACTTACCAGATGTATGATTTGCACATATTTTCTCGCCTTCTGTAGGTTATTTTTCCTTTTCTCGATAGTGTCCTTTGGAGCACAAAAGGTTTTAATTTTGATAACATCCAGTTTATCTAGTCTTTCTTTGGTTGCTTATGCTTTCGGTGTCATATCTAAGAAACTATCCATGGTCATGAAGATTTATTTTATACCTTTGTTTTCTTGAACCAGTTTTATAGTTTTAGCTCTTACATTTTAGTCTGATTCATTTTGAGTTAGCTTTTATATACGGCATGAAGTAGGGATCCACTTTCATTCTGCATGGATAGCCAATTCTCCTCTTATTATTTGTTAAAAAGAATCTTCTTTCCTCTACAGAATTATGGCACCCTTGTTAAAAATCATCTGACCACTAATTACTCATTTTTCTTCCATTGAGATATTTGTGTGTGTGTATGTATACACATGCATATGTATATATATTCACATCTCCCTATGTCATTACCACTCGGTCTTGTGTAAGTTTTGAAATTGGGAAGTGTGAGTCTTCTAGCTGTATTCTTATTTTTCAAGATTGTTTTGGGACCAGCTTGTCAGTTTTTGCAAAAAGACAGCTAAGATTGGGTGGTGCCTGTGGCTAAAAGGAGTAGGGCACCAGCCCCATATACCAGAGGTGGCGGATTCAAACCTAGCCAAAAACTGCAAAAAAAAAAAAAAGAGAGACAGCTAAGATTTTGATATAGGGATTATTGAGCTCTGTAGATTAATTTGGAAATGCCATTTTATGCTTTCATTTTTTATTTTTATTCTTTGGCTGGGGCTGGGTTTGAATCTGCCACCTCCAGTATATGGGACTGGTGCCCTTCCCCTTTGAGCCACAGGCGCCGCCCAGTATGCTTTCTTAACCATAGGCTAATATGTCTTTTAAGTTGAATTTAACCTGGAGGTTCTTCCTCCTTTCTGAATTTATTTTTTGTTTCCTTTATATTTTATTGATGGAGAAATTGATCTTTGTGCTGTAGAGTTTCCTACATTCTCAATTTTGCCGATTGTGTATCATCATCCTTATACCCTGCGTTTCCTGTAAAATGGTAGTTAGAGCTAGAGGCTTGATCAATTCAAGTTGATTTTTTTGGCAAGAATTCTTCTTACATTATTTTTATACTTTCTATCATTAGTAGCAGTATTTTAATCTAACCTACTTTTTTGTTCATGGCTTAATTCATTTGTTCTTGTGCCTTGGAATCATTGCATAACTGGACATAACGAGTATCCTTGTTCCTTGCTAAGGCTGGGTAGTGTTCCAGAGTATGGTTTCATCATAGTATATTTATCCCACTTTCTGTTGATGACCATTTAGATTGTTTTCATTCTTCTCCTATTCTAGTGCTTCAGTAATAACCCTGCACATGCATAATTGTTCACATGTACAAATATATCAGATGGTTAAATACTTTGAATTGATGAGTCAAAGAGGATATACAACCGTAATTTAGGTAAATACTGCCAAATTGCTCTTCAGATGAGATATTCCAGTTTATATTCCCATCAGCAATGTAGGAGTTCTGTTCACTTACATCTTTTTAATGTATAAGAAACTAAAACTTTGATAGGAATCTATTTTTTTCCAGAGATGGAGTCTCACTGTGTGGCCCAGGCTGGAGTACAGTGGCTGTTCATGGGCATAATCATGATGCACTGTGGCCTCCAACTCCTGGGCTCAAACGATCCTCCACTTCAGCCTTCTGAGTAGCTGGGACTATAGGCTTGTGCCACTGTGGCTGGCATAGGAATCTTAAATTTAAACTAATTGCCCTGTATCTGGTCCTTATTCTCTGGTAGGAACTGTTTGAATGAATCAACAGAAAGGAAAATTTGTGTGGTTTCTTTGAACTACCTATCTCAGGCAGACACTTTTTTTGAGTCTTAAGCTGTCGCCCTAGGTAGAGTTCTGTGGAATCATAGTTCATGGCAACCTCTAATTCTTGGGCTCAGCCTCCCAAGTAGCTGGGACTACAGGTGCCCACCACAATGCCCAGCTATTTTTTGGTTGTAGTTGTCATTGCTGTTTGGCAGGCCCGGGCTGGATTCGAACCTGCCAACTCTGGTGTATGTGGTTGGCACCTTAGCCTCTGAGCTACAGGTGCCAAGCCAGGCAGACACTTTTTTTTAAAGCTGTCTCTTTTTGTCTTTTTTGTGACACCAAAACTCTTCTTCCTACCCCTGCATTCTTGTAGCAGAAGCTACGC